AATCAGTGTATGTGCCTGTAGACATATATATATATATATATATATATATATATATGTATACATATATATGTGTCCCGTGTTAACGATGTTGCTGGAATGTTCTCACAAACTGTACTCAGCATGCGAGGCTCTTCGATCCTCGATTACATACTTCATGAGCATCGATGGAATTTTCTAACAGTTTTTGTCACTGTCACGAAACTTCTGGCCTTCGTCTTTGAATTCTCGGTTTTTAGTCAGGTGCAGCAGCAGCAGTAAATGCATCAGTTTCCGGTTCGTCTGCTTTTGTATCCAGAGGAGCTCGAAGAAAACAAGGAAAGCGGGCATACATTTACTCAGTGCCGTTATGATTCGAGCAAATCTTCTTGGTGTCATTTTTGTGGCAAGAGATACTGTTTTGTTGGAATGAATAGTGGATTAAAATTTGTTGAAGTTATGTTAAAACAGATAAATTACTGAAGTACCAGTACTGAAATTGTTTGTACTCAGAGTGTTCAAGCGTCGGTGCTGACCAAGCTACTCTGTTCTAAACCTCTGATCTTTATTTTTATTTGCTCACCATTCCGCTGAGCCCATCAGGATGACAGCTACTTTTTTCGTATGCTCCATTCGCTAATATGCAACGTTCAATAGTTCTTAGCAAGCAAAATTATGTATTCTACCTCTGTGAACTTTATTTTCTTCCATTTCCTTACTTCTCTTACAGTCAACACTACAAAAAAGATATGAAAAACAAAACGTCGGACTGAAAGTTATTTTGGCACAATTCTGAATTCGAAGAATTGATAAATTAAAGATTTTAGTTAAATGAAACTAGAGAAACAAGCATTCAATGTTTCATTATTAACCATCTAAAAACTTAATTTTTTTCTTTTTTCTTTATGAATTAAGAGCACAGTGTCTTCATTTACTGTGCGCTAATAGTCGCCATATTTCCTGGAATCTGATAAGAAGTCAATGTGTTGCTTCCTTAACGGTTAAAAGCGTAGTATTCTTAACTGTCACATGTTATAGTAATTACTCCGCTGCATTCTGTCATACTGTAGTTGTTAGCTTATCATTATTAAAAGTTTGTTAATGGATAAAAAAGAACTTGACAATAATCTGTTTTATCAGCTGTTAATGTTTTTGCTGGCAAAAACCTTTTTTCGGCGACAAAACATAAAACAGCTTTGTGAAAACTGGATTGCTGTAGTTTCTTTGCTGTAGCTATACAAGGAAAACAAAGAAATTATCAAAATTTCGAAGGCAAAAGAGCAACCAAAAGTCACGTAAAATCTCGAAAATCGAACAAAAATATCGATTTTCTAGTTAGTCAGAAATTTGACACAAATAGATCCAAACAACTGAATTTATCTTCATCAGTAAAAAGAATAAAAAAAAAGTAAAAAGCCTCATAGCTAGTGAGGTAAATTCTCATCGTTGTTTGGGAAGCCAAGTTCAATACGAAGTGATGATAATTGGAACGGATCTGCTACATCTCGAAGTAATTAAGGCTTTATCAAGTACTTCTGTTCAAAGAGCGTCAAGCCAATAATCTCTTCAAGGGAAAACGAAATGCATGACACGATCGCCAGCAGCTATTTGGCCAGCACATAATGTAGCACCGACCAATGTAAGAGGAAAAGCTACAAATCGCATAGCTGAAGGACTACCTTGTGCAAGACCTGGTCAAGACAAAGCGAGTATTCTTCAGTAATAGTACTGTTAATTTCTTTTCCTTTTTTGCCGAGCACTTTTTAAAAAAGAAGAAATTAAGAAAACTTTGAATTTCCAATAATTTCAAACTGTGTCGTGTTTCCTTCCTATAAATTCGAATTTTTGATGTGGGTGCATTTTTTTTTTTCGAAAACTACACAATCTACTTGAAACAATAATAATTTAGCAGTGAGCATTTATGTTAAGATAAAAAACGTTTGTTGTCTTACAAAACAACCAACAGAGTTGCTTTATTAACTAGTTCCTCTAGCCCTTCTAAGTTCATCTTTCACTGTGTACATCCTCTAGAAATGCTTATTGTTAATTGCAAAAATTATACCTGCTATCTTGGTCCTATTCGTGATCTTTTCGGACATCATGTCTGTGCATCCCAACAATGCCACATTATTAAGTTTTTGTTTGTTTTGTGCTATGCTCAGCCGCACAAAACACAATAAAAAATTGTCATGTCCGGTCAGTGTATGTTTCTGTTTGCATCCAAGTGCATTTTGTCCACACTTCTCAATTCGAGAATCGCAACGGCTAGAAAGCTGAAATTTTAAAGAAGTGTGATCCCACAGGTATGATCCCACAAGTCTAATTTCAGCCCTCACGCACTCCCAGGTCTAACTACGGCCACGCTAAAATTTTGGAATCAAAATTAACTCGGGGATCAGAGGAACAAGGAAGCTGAAATTTGTAGGAGATGTCTTCTACCCGCTTAAGACATCGCAAACTTAATTCAGTCCTTTTGTTCGTCTGGAGCTCACTTACGACCACATAAAAGTTTTGACGCCAAAATCAATAGCTTAGAAACCACAGATCTAGGAAGCTGAAATTTTAAGATAATATTCCAAGCCTGTGTCCGATCTCAAAATATAAATTCAGCCCCCACTTACAACTAAGTCTCACCCACGGGTAAGTGGAAGGTTTGGCGCGAAATTTTCCGCCTCGGGTGCAACAAGGTAGAAGGCTGAAAGTTTATCATTTTGTTTCTTTTGACTCTACAACGCCGGAATTTCAAATTCAGCTTTCTATCGCTCTTTTGTCTCAGGTGTAGACAACTAAAATTTTAGATGAGGGATTTTAGCTTGGAAGTTGAACAAATCAGAAAGTTAAAATTGCTGAGGGATGTTTTTTGTTTATGTGCGGATCAACAAGCTCACATCTAGCTGCCGTGAACACCTATGTTTCATTCACGGGCCAAATGCACGCTATTAATTTCTTACTATCGCACATAATTAGTGAGTTCCTATAACTATTTTTCATCTCAGAAAATTATAGCTGATCATAGATCTGTTTGAGCTGCACGGTTATGACACACATGAACGATGATGTGCGGTTTGTGATGGTTTATGACCCTGTGAATCAATATCATTATTCTTTCATCTCTTGTCAAGTCCTCACCCATTTGGAATCACAATGTCAGTCGGTGATTTGTGTCAGTCTCTGCTTATGTTTACTGATTACTAGCAGAATTATGCCTGTATCCTGGATGTCCAAATTTAATCACATATTTTTTCAGGAACGCAAAAAAACGAAACACATGTCAGCTACTCGAGAGAGCTGTTTCAGTGCTTTGAGCAGTGAATTTCGCGGAAAAAGTGTGGACTGTTCTGGCGAGGTAAATTGAATTGCTATGTGGTGCATATAATTTAAATATTATAATCAACAGTTACTAAGGCTGCTATCAGAAATACGCGTAGAATTCGCCCTGATATTTGAAGCATCTTATCCCAAGCACTGCTTTTAGGCGTTACAGTAGTCAGCGGCTGAATTAGTAGGCCTATTCCTTATCTTATATGCTTTTTTCAAAAAATTAATTATTTTATTTGGTTAATTTGCCTCATCGAACATACATTTTGAAATTTATGCAAAACATGCATTTTATACAATAACGACAAAGCGCAGACTGGGCATCCACTGAAGCACCGTTGATCAGAGCTACTGGAAAAGTTGGCAACTGCATAGCTGGAAAGCCATGCTATGAAAATGCAGTTGAACCAAGTGTACTAGATTAGCAACTCAGATGTTTAATTCCTTATTTTAATAAAGCTGAAGTTTCAACTCATGCTAAAAACGCTCTCTCCTGCAAGCTTATTATAAATTATACCTGCAAACAAAAAATTTGCAAAGAATCTAGGCAGTACGCATCAGAAGTCTGTTTTTTTGCATGAAACAGCGGTATATTTACTTTTCTGTAATTATGTTCTACGTCTGCTATTTTTCCGTTTAAGTCAACGGTTAAGAATTTTTGCCTACATATTTTTTCTAGTCGTTTCCCACAAAACAGATTAAAATTTGCTGAAAAAAATATTAGTTAAATATAGTCTGTTTATCAGCCTTGAAATGTTTTTGCAAAATCGGTATATTCGCAAAAGTTAAACTATCGTAACGCTGACGATTCACTCGCTGTGTGCAGTAATCCGATTTTGTGCTTTGAAAAACCATGATGTGCCTATGCCAGTAAATTCTCTTTCACTGCTTCAGTATTTAAAAAAAAATGAAGGAATTGCAGTGCCCAATTCTCGTCCCTCTTTTGTTATGAATGGATTAACAAAGGCTGCTTTAGCATTAGTCGCGTTTGGCCCGACAGTGAGACCACGTAAAACTATGCACAATTTTGTTCAGCTGAAACGCTCTTGCTGAAAAAATGCACTGCAATCGTATAATGCAAATCACTTTTAACCCATGAAACCAGTAGAAAATATCTCACACGATCGCGAATGATATGATACTGCAGCCTAAACACGTTTTTGCAAGAAACTGGATTTCTGTGGGATTTGCGAGGACGCAATTCTCGACTGTATGTGAGGCGACAAACTCAAAAACAACAGACATCCTCGTCATGACCTATCTTGTGAATTAATTTTCGAATTGGGCTAAGAATTTAACTAGCAAATAAACAGAGGTGCAAAAGTTGCCATTTTTAGAGGTTTAAATCATATTCTGGATAGTTAACTCACTATTACTGTTTAACAATCTGAAATCAATTCGCAGAATTCAAAATTTCCCGACTTTATTACCTCAGAAACGAATTTAAGCTAATTCTACATTTTCCAAACGAAGAAACTCATAAACCTAAAATCGTGAACTTATAATTCAGCGTGCATAACAAAATAATTGCTAAGAAAGCGGTTCCTAAAATTCACTGTTTCTCTGACATCTGCCTCCAGTTTCAGCTCCAGAAAATTTACGAATCAAAACTCAGAAATCAGAACTTCAGGGCAAATTTTATAGTCTGGCTGGCGTTGAGCGTTAGGTGTTCAGAGCGAGAACCTTTATGTGCATTGTCATGCCGAGATTATAACTCCGATGCAAAATAATCTTTGAACATGAAAAAGTTCTATTTCTTCATTTAAAAAAAAATTGCATTTTTTTTTTTGTATTCCTCCTCACTGATTTTTCGCAAACGTCATAATTGAGCCATTCCACTACTATCTACGAACTTCTTGGAGTATCGGTATAAAATTCTAATGTTAGTAATGTTACTGGAATGCTCGCATGTCCATGGCGTAACTGGGCTGTCCTGTTTAATTCTGTATGCCTTCAGTTAGTATCCATCGTCTTTTTATGCTATCAATGACTTTAGCTGCAGAAATTCTGGTGAAGAGAAAAGTGTTTTTCCAAATCAGATTGTTTCCTTCCCCGCCCTGAACATTCAATGTCTATGAGAAGAAAGTTACTCAAGAAGCAGTTCGAGTAACAGCA